GCATTATCCAAGTAATTACTAAACAAAACAAAAAAACCCAAAACCCAATCCAAAAAACCCAAACCAAATTTCAGCAGTGCCCTGTTGAAATATCTTTCTGACCTGACACTAGATTCCCTGTAAACTTTTCTTAATAAGTTCTTTTTTTTAAAATAGTTGTTCACCTATTGTTGTTTGCAAACTCAATGTCTTGAAGATAAATTTTCCATTTGCTTTTAAAATAATTTTGTTCATATCTAAAACACCTCTTTCCCACTAACATACACAACAGTATTTTAAAAAAATCTGTAGTAGCATCTGTCAAGATTGCAAATGTATTTAAATTTACACAAGATGGTGATCATAAGCAGACTTGTGCAACAGGACTGTTTCAAAACAGCTCTCAAACTCTGCTCCAGGTGTTGCAGTGGCATTAATGCAATGAAACCCATTCCAATGGTAATTCTCAGATAAAAATCCTCAGTCTTTGAAGGCAATTCGCACAAAAAGTGAGTCAGTTTCCAACTGTTAAACTCAGCATCTCTTGTTTTAGGACAATTAAAAATTCAACCCTTCAAAAAAAATTATTTAACAGTACCTTTAGACTAATCACATTTCATATCATAACTGCAGAATCCAACATTTTCAGTTACACAAAGAAAGCAAAACATAGTGCCAAAAATCAAAGTCACAGCCTTTGAGCTCAAGAAATACAGAACAGTGCAAAACCATTTACAGCAAGACAGAGGAAATTAATCAAAACCTGTGAACAGATGGGAGTCAGTCTAAGATTGTAATGATGCTTTATGAAGGATCTGGGCAAGGGAAAATATTGCCTCACCCAGAGGAAATGCCTGTGTCCCTGAAAGGTCTCCAAGTGCTATCTCAATGTCTGTCCACACTTAGGTAGGCATGAGAACTGCACAGTTTTGAAGAATCCTAATTTTGGAAAATGTGAAATCTATACAATTTAAACACAGCAATCTAAAGGTTGCTTATAAAGCAATTTAGAAATGTCAAAGCACTTTCTCCCATACCTTGTTAAGAACATTGGTTTGTTTATTTCCAGTGAAATGATACTTGAATCTTTTCTGAAGAGGATTCAGCATGATCTGTATTGGAAGGATGATTGGTGGTGAAGGGGGTAAAGGGTACTTTTCTGGCAATTGTTTGGGTTTGGTTAACAGCTCATCTCTAAGTATGACAGTCAAGGATGGACCTAAGTGTTGAATTACTCCAGCATCATCATTTCAATAGAATGGGTTTATAAAAATGAGCACTGCTGTAGTCCTACACCATTGACTGAAGACAGTATTATGAAAACAATACAATTCCTTATAAAAGACACTCAAAATATTCCACTTTATGTAGTATTAAATATAACCCAGGCCTTGAGGGTTTATTTATTCAATGACAATACATGTCCCTTAAATCTGTTTGATTTAGGAAACTTGGAAGAATCCAGCAAACCACCATTGTCAGAAACACAGTGGCTGTCCAAGAGACACACTTATTCATATTTGTTGAAGGAGGATAAAGACTCCTGGGATTAATAAATGCAACACTTGATTTCCCATTTTCATGTAATGGATTTAAGTAAGCCACTCTGCCAAACCAAAATTGTTACCAGCTCAGGATTGTGTACAATGGCCTTGCATCTTTCCACTATGTGATTTTAAAAATAAATAAATAAGACAGCCATTGTCACGCACACACACAAAGGCTTAGTTCAACTTCAGTTTTAACTGATTTTTTGTGAATTACTTAATTCATAAAAATCAGGGATAGAATGAGCAGCAGTGCCTCTGAGCAACCTCAAAGGCAGACTATGACTGCTGCACAACAGAAATTCTCCTGCAGTCTCCCCTTTTTGTAAAGTCTCCTTTCAAGACATGTATGTTTAGTTTTCCCTTTTTTTCTTTCTGCGCCAGGACATATTAAAGTGATTAAAGATTATTTCACACAAGGCTATAAAAGGAAAAGCATTAACTGTGTCTAATAAAACACACATCACCATTTTTTCATTAACATGCATGGGTAATGGTCCCTAGAAGTGTAAGGCCAAATCCTCATGCAACCTAAACTGTCAGCTACCATGAGAGCACTGGATCTGATGACTTGGAGTTAAAATGTTGCTACTGACAAAAAGGAGAACTTTGGCACTTTCTATATGCATTTTCTACATGCAAAAAAACCCCAAACAAAACAAAACAAAAAAAAAACCAAAACAAAACAATGACAAAAAACCCCCCCACCAAATCCCCACAACATTCTAATGTTAATACAAAGTAACATAAATTATCTTCTGTTTTTAGGGAGAATAAAATTTTAAATAATTCTCCTTGAGAAGGTGCATCTCTAACAGTTTTTATTATTGCTAAAATACACTGCAAGAATGTAAAAGGATACGAGGTTTGCAGTTTCAGAAGCTGACAGAACAGCATCTCCAAGTTGCTGTACACCTCAGGAGCGTTGGCTGGTGCAGCAAGGCCGAATGCCTGGGACTGAGGTGGCCCCACAAAGGGCCAGCGGAGCTGTGTCAGCACCTCCTCAAAGTCACTGCAACACAAAATAAGCACTTGGACATCAACTGACTGTGTAAAGATGAGGCAGTCTCAGTAGCTCTCTTACCTTGTCAATTTGTCCTTAAGGATTTTATGCCAAAATTGAACAGTGGATCTCACAAAGGCAAGAAGATGAGAACAAGATGACTCCTGAAGTTTAATATCCAGTTCTGCCATGAATGCTAGAGTACTGGCCGCCTCTGGAACATTGTTGGTCATCAGATATTGCTGAATGCTGTCACTATAAAACACAAAAAAGACAAGGCCAAATATTCATTAATGATAACAGAAAAGAATCATTTATATATTGAAAAGTAAAGACAAAACTTTCCTGAATTGACACTATTTTACCGAGGGGATAAACCAGCTCACCAGTGTCAGAACATACATGCAGCACTCAGAAACTACCTCAGCTCTTCTATGCGAGAAATCCACTTGAGGTAGGCCAGGTGCCGCTCGATCTCTTCCACCTGACCTATCAGCACATCGAGATCCTCCATCCACGGCTGAGCTTTCTGCAAGTGCCTGTTGATGGACTCAGACAGAACAGTTTCCTCCTCTAGAAGCTGACCCAGAGACTTTTTGGAGTCTTCTGCATTCTTTAGGGCATTCTGAATTCTTTTAGGGACTTCTGACGAAACTGTAAGTACCTGCATTGACAGAGATGTATTAAGGCAGACATAAAACCACTGCACTGTGTAGAGCAGTGCCACTTGAGATACTGATACAGTTCATTTAGTTTCATATTCTCAATCAGTCATACAGCATGTTCGGAAGAAGAAAAAAAATTAAACAGAAAGATGCTTACCTGTTCTTCTAAGTGCTTTTTGTTTTCAGATAGCTTTTCAATCAGGCTGCCCAGCTTCCCCAGGGAATCATAGTCATTTCCAAGTTCTCTTTCCACAAATTCAGAAACATAGTATGGGATATCACAGTGGTCTAGATCTCTAGTGCTTGCCATGGTTTCTTTCTCTGCAATACTGAGTATACAATTTTAATTAGCCGACACTAAGCACAAACAAATATTATCTATTGAGGAACAAAACTCCATGAAAAGCTGGGCAGTTCAATTTAAACTGAGACTGAAATACCATATTCATGAATTATACTGCTTTAAGTGAGTCAGCTTGCTGGCTTAAGTCAGGTCAGATAAAACCCTGCTGACATATCCACCTGGTGATTTGTTATGTATTAACAACTGAAGAGAAATACATCTGTTAATTTCTTCCTTCTCCAAAAGCATGAAGTCTACTAAAAACAGTTCAAGAAATATGTAGCTCCTACATATATAATACAGAAAATGTAATGAAAACTACAAAAAAAATTGTAAAATGCAAAGGAAGATAATGTTCCATTTTCCCTTTTCACAAGTTTAGGAAATTTCAGAGATACCAACTCATGACTATTGGGTTACTAGCAAAGTATCCATGTGGGCCTTACAATAATTTGGAAAGCAAATACATCACTGAAATATTTACCAAAAAACCCCATACAGTATAACATAAAAGACACTTGCTGATCTACACATTTGGCAGCATCCAGAGAAACCTGACATTAAGAGGATGTTCACAGTGAAACAAAAAAGGCATCAATGATCGTTTGGCTGGTTCAATCCTCGACTTCTTCGTGTCACTTCAACACATTATTTAAAAATAAAACCCGATACACTTGCACTTCTTTTGCAAGTGTACAAGTTACACTTGCACTTCTACTGCTACAAGCTTTAATTAAGTTAAAACACCTATTAAGCTGACAACAGCACAGATAAAGTGGTGCAGCTGATGAGCCAGAGCTGCAGAGGCAACAGAGAGCACCAGGCAGAACAAACTGGGTGACCAAGGGCGCTGCAGAGGAATAATCGAATAAAGAAAGCAGAGCAGTAAAATTCCTGTTTGCAGCAATGCAAACATTATACAGAAGGAAAAAACTAACCAAACGCTGCTCTTTTCGTACTTAGTGGAAAGGACCGGGTTACACGAGGCAGGATCAGGTCTGTGGGCGCTTCCCTCCCAGCAGCTGCCTGCTCAGCCCCGCGGCTCAGCACCCACCTGGGCCAGAGGGCCGGGCCCTTCCAAGGGCCGGCCGCAGGCTCTGCGGGCTCCGGCAGGCTGCGAGCCAAGCGCCGCCGACCGCGGCCCGGGCTGGGCGGCCGGGCAGCCCCTCAGCCGGGCGCCACACAGCGCTCACAGGGACACGGCCCCGCTCCCCGCCCGCCGGCTGTCCCGCCCCGTGCTCACACGGACACGGCCTTGCACCTCACGGCCTCCCCGCCCCTCCACACGCAGCCGCCGTGGCTGGCGACATACTAGCACCACAGGCCTTACACTTGGCTGAAAAGGCCAGGTCTCTTTAGAACAGCTCCACAGTATTTTTTTTCCCCAACACGAAGGCCGACTCATTCCCCGCCAACAATGGGCAAGCGACAGGCGCAAAGGAAGGACTTATTGCTACACGCTCAGAGTTTCAGGTTAGTTTATTTTTAGTACCTGTTCTTTGGTACTGGTATTATCTGGAAAATACAAGTATTTTCTCAATGAAAAGTCGATTTTAAAGAGTCTATTTAAAAGAGCTGTTACAGCTTTACAGCACACAAAAGCCTTGCTTACAGAATCTGTTACTGCATCAGTGCAAATTCTACCAGCAAAACTCCAGCAATACATATGTTCATCAGTATCTTAATTTTGTTGTAATTCATCTTTCCCCGTGTAATTCATTGTATTTGAAAAGACTTCAAGGGTGGCTGAACTCGTGAAAACATTCAGTGCTTGCCCAAAGAAAGCAAGCTAAACATTCTTCCAGGTCTGATGCCATCATAAGCAAAATTCTAAGCATGCACCATGTTACAGCTCAAGCAACTTGCTCATTCAGTAAAAAGCACCAGTCACTAAAATCTGTATTATATTACAGTCACCATCTTGCCAAGGACTACCGAAGTTAAATGCTAGCACTAAAAAAACTTAAAAAAATACAAATCTCTTACTGTGACTCTTTAAAGATTTGTACAGAACATGTAAATAAGAAAACACTTTGTTAAAATTAAGTAATTCTGCAGTTCATTCAGCGCAACCAGGTAGTATTCAGTTGTGTCTGGTTTTTTATGCTTGTGTCCATTTTCAAAACTTCTCGAATCGCCATGGTAGCGTAAGTGGATGGGGGAAGGGAGAACTCCATCTTCAGTGCCCTGAATTTGCCATCTATCAGCAGGTGTAAGAGACAAAAAGCAAGAACAAGTGGTTAAGGGCATATATAATGCTTATTCTGGATGCCATCTAAACTGAACTAACAACTTCCACAACCAACTTCCCCAGCCCATAAAGCAAAACAACCACCACCACCGCACTCCTGTTTATAATCCACCCTGAAAAATTTAATGAAACAATTTTTTAACATTTCCTCTCAGGATAAAGTGGTGGTTTCAGATTTTTCTTCTTCTAAAAGCGAACATTCGTTCTTTCAGACTCAATTCCTAGCCTGTCTTCACTTTTCTGGAAAGCAGTGTCAAAACACCTTGTGACCAGAGCTAAGTATTTCAGTCATCTGTGTTCAGCACCAATAATACAAGCTAAGAATTCCACTTGTTAGTTGCAGATATTTACTGCTAAGCATTTACTTGATTTTACAGATGCCTGTAAGAAAATGTAACAGTCAATACACATGCTGGAGGAATGGCTTGCACCCTTGAGAAATTAGGGTCTTTATTTAGATGCCTGGCCTTAGAGGTCGTTTTGCTTAACAGTCAATAGTTAAATGAAAGGTCTTAAAGAAGCTTTGAATATGTAGCAGTTGAAAGCAACAGCCAGATCAAACTTCCATTTAGCAAACCAGCAGAAAAATCAACTTACCTGTAGGGAGAACTGGTAATGGTTTTCCTTCCAGTTTATCCAAATCCGTAGTAAATAATGGGATTTTAGGATCATCATATGCAACAACTTCCCTTTATAATATACATAAAATTTATTACTATTTTAAATTACTTAGGTTAACACATTTTATATAAATATGTATTATTATAATAGTATTTTATTATTATTATTTCAATTTGGCATTTACAACTGAAATTGAATTAGGCAAAATAATGGGTAGAGCTTTATGTAGAAGACTTGCCTTGGCTTTATGAAGATTACCAAAAAACAATTGTAAGTTAGTGAGAAGTTTCTTTGCATAACTCATCTGTTTCTGCCATTCATTTAACAGAAATCCCATACCATACCATGAGGCTGAAAAACTAACTGGGAAGTAGACAAGCTTAATATTAATTAGTGCTGATGTTTCCAGTATATAAATATTTCTATTTTTGTGCTCCCTCCTAAACCCTCTATATTTAATTCTATGCATCAGTGATCATGTATTTCTGCACATTTGTAGAGTTCCCTGTTTAAAAGGCATTTATTCAGTTGCCATATGAAAACTAGGCTGTATCTCTAACAACAGTGATTTAGTAGGGTTAAGTGATACAAATTTTTCTGATTGACAGGTAATTGGAGACCAACTTTCTTATAGCAAGACTACAAAAAAACCCTTTGTTTTGAGTATTACCTATAACTGTCTCAACATAAGTAATTACCTATGAAGTGTTCAGACAAGCCCTTGCAAGGAGTGAACAACTAGATAAGATGTCTTGATACTCCTTCAGCACAGATCAAGAGAACCAAGGAAGAAATAAGGGTATAGTTCCACTTCAGCTGCATTAAAAACGTGAGAGAAGTGCAGAGATTCCTTTCTACCTATGTTTCAGTCTGTGTGGATGTCCCATGGATCAGTCTCATGCTGTTCTGTACTTAAATAAACTCTATGCTGTCAATTCAAGTGTAATTTCTTTTATGCTCCCACTCACCAGTTGACATTCTGAGGCCGAATGATAATCTTTCTGTATGCTCCAGAAAGTGAGTAATCTCTGATTTTATGCCTCATGTTGTTGATATCAAGATTGTCAGCTACCAGCATCTCCTTGTAGGCCTCACCAACTGCAAGAGAGGAAAATATTTAATAGGAGAGAATGTAGTGTGGCAAATTTAAATTGTTTTCGTGGATTGCTCCCTTCCCTTACATTTAGCAGTTTTCAGCATATGTGGGAGAAATGCTACACAGAAATTTAAAATTACTGCAGATCTTATTACCTGTTTACTTCTACAACCTGATTAGTAGAGGCAGTAGCAAAGAACGCATCAAATCAAATTTCAGCTGAAAATAAAATTTACAAAATACTTTATTGACATTTAAATGCCATCTCATATATGCATTCCAATTTTCTAGACTTCACAGGACTAATCTCAGGTATATGGGAAAAAAAATCAAGGGCCAGACTACCCATTACTCTCTCATTAAAAAGCAGCAGAGAGAAATCAGTTGACAATTTGACAGTACAAGAACAGTTCAATCCAAAAGTGAGGAAAACATGCAGGGAACTCATGACTAACCTCATCTGTAAGAACACAGAATAGGTGAAACCTAGGGCCACAAAGCTACAAAGAGGCACTGTACCAGCACTGTCCAGGCACACAGAAATGGTGTTAGGAAAGGCAGAGCTCAGCTACAGTTGAAAGCAGCAAATGACATCAAGACCAGGAAGAGTTCAGCTGCAACATAAGGAATGACAGACTACAAGGAAAGCAATGGCCTGGTGCTAAACAGGGCAGCTGGCCTGGTGACAGACAGAAGGCTGATGGTCTCAGTGTCTCTTTTGCCTCGGCCTTGACCAGCAAAGTGCCCCAGGCCTCTCTTCTTAGAGGCAAGGTTAAGAAAAGAGGGACTACCAGTAGTGTGTCACAGACATATGTTATGAAAAATCCTTTTGCCAGGATCTTTTCTCCTGAGAAGCAGGGAAGCTTCAGCTTCTCCATGTTGTGCTGCTTTGGAATTTGGAGATTTGGAGAACTGTTTACCCAGCATGTGAAATTGTTTTTACTTGATGACCAATGACAGCCACCTGTGTTGAGGCTGTGAGCAGTCACAAGATTTTATTATCATTCCTTTCTATTCCTTTCCAGCTTTCTGATGGATTCCTTCTTTCTATTCTTCTTAGTATAGTTTTAGTATAGCATTTTAATATAATATCGTAATATAATAAATCAGCCTTCTGAAACAGAGTTGAGATTCTCATCTCTTCCCTCATCCTGGGACCCTTGAACACAACCATAGTAGTGGGAGAAGATACAGGCTGAGAGAGCTGGCTCATGTCATGGTGAAGTTTTTCTCTACCATCTCAGAGATTGTGCAGATCTAGGGATGGCCCAGACAACTGTGGAAAACCAAGTGCTGCACCCAACTTCAGAAAGAGCAGGAAACATGATTAGGGAATTACAGACCAGTCAGGCTTACTCTGGTCCCTGGGAAAAATAATGGAGTTAATCTTCTTTGGGTACACAATGACCATGGTTTTAATATGGGGAAGAAAGAGAAAAAGCAGAAAACCCACCAACACTACTGTCTTCTATGATGAAATTATTACACCTATGGATGAGGGGAGAGCAAGGACTGTTGCCTGCCTTGTCTTTAGCAAGGCTGTCAATGCATTTCCACAGCATCTTTGTGCCCCAGGTTAGAACATTACAGTGGATGGACTGCTAAGTGGGTAACAGCTGTCTGGCTCAGCATCTCAGAGTATAGTCACTACTGCTTGCAGCTCTACCTAGAAGCAGAGTTCCTCAAGGAACTGAGATGTGTCCTGTGAAATAGTGGAGAAGAGCTGGAATTCACCCCAAGCAATCTGCAGGCTAAACCAAGCTGGGGTGGCATTCAATACATGCAAGGGGAGCACTGCCATTCAGAGGGACTGAGGCACACTAGAGGAATGGGCCAAGAGGAGCCTCATTAAATTCATCAAGGACAAAATTGTGTACCTGATTAAATCCTTGCAGTGGTACAGATTAGTGTGACTCTGCTCTGCAGTTATCTGGGATTCCCAGTGGGAAGGAGACTGAGCAGAGCACCCTGGCAGCAACAAAAAGCTGACATTAATGTTTTAGAGATCTGAAGTGATGTATTGCTTTAAAAGTCACCATGGTTGAGTAGATTCAATCTTCCTTTTAAGAACAATCTTAAAGAAGACTTATGTTTTCAGAGAAAGTACTTCAGTTAACAGTCAGACTTACTTTTATGCTTTGGATAAATAACATCAAATCCAGGCAATGGCATCACTACATCATGGATAGTGTAGTTATCAACATCTCCTTCTTCAATGTGAACAGCTGTGGCTACAGTCAGGACAGAAAAATGAAGTTACCAATACAGATGATGCCTGTGACAGTTAACTTCAGCTAAATTTAAAATAAAGCCTTTGATTGAAATAAGCTTACTCTGAGAAAGATAACTACCATGTTTTATCTCCACTTAACAGACATTTCTAAGAAAAGAAGTAACAGCTTCCAAGGCTGTCACAGCTGGCAGAATCACAGCCTGGCTTCCAGTGACTTAAAGCTACATGAAGTAAGGACTGCTAGAGGAACAGCCCCCTTCCATGCACCAGGCATACATAAAGGAGAATGCAAGAAATGCCAGAGCAAATACAAGCAAAGAAAGTTTTAACTGAGTTGAGTTTCTGCTTTACAAGATACTAATGCAATAAAAAATTTATATGGTTAAAACTTCATCATGTCCTTCCACAGTCCTTCACAGATCAACTAGGTTTGAGGTCATTCTTGAGAATATTCAGTCCTCCATAGTCTCTCTTCCCTATTCAGTTGTTTGAAAAAACAGGCTAACAAACAGCTCATGGAAGTGTAATACCTAACTCCCAATTCCTTGCACAATTTGTCTAAAACAGGACAGTGGATTCAGCTGTCACTGGGCCAAAACTGGTGAGAGAAAAGAAACTATGTAAGTTTCAGACAAACACAAACTACGTGCCTTGTTTTCCTAGGAATCTGAACTATACAGCATCACTGATTTTACCTCCTTTAAGTATGAGATCTCCTGGTACAGCTCTAAGCCCGTATTCTTCTATTCTCTTGCTCACCATATTATTCCACACATAACTCTGGTAGCTATGAATATACATTAAACGATTATTTCTTGGTATCTAGAGGTAAAGAAAAAAAATTAAACACTAGATAAACATATTTTTTGGTTTTTCTGACAATCATAACCAAAAAGGTGCATATTTGAAATGTTACCTTATCCAGCAAAAAAACATACACAATTTCTTGCTATACATATTTGATTTTTGTTGTTTGAGAAAAGGATATGTGAAGAAATAATACTTTTACACACTTGAAATCTGCACAAAAAAGAACTGTACTTAAATTTACAAAAAAAACCCCAATACTTTTTAACTCTACAGGTCAAACATATGGGTCTATTATAAAACACTGAATTCATATTCAACCTCCTGAAATCTTAAGTGAACTCTGCAGCTGTGAAAGCACTGTGTTATTCTAATTATCTTCTTAATAAACAAGAAATTATCCCCAGATCCTACAATGGGCCCAGTAGTTTGCTAGTGATGAGGTATTTTCTCCAAAGACTTGATCTTGATTACAGCACTTGAAAATGACAAGTGGATCCATCACCTCCATATCAGGCTGATTCATTAGCCCACCATTGGTTTGATTTATACTTTTAAAGCAACAGGAAAACACTGAAACTGAACATTTGCACAATTCTCAGATCTGTACTATACATAACTACTACGTATAACTGTATTGTTTCCCACATACCAGAGAGGCTGTTGTATAAATTGGAAAGCTCATTAAGCATACATTTATTAGAGATGTCATCAGTTACTACACAGCAGTACTTCCAGCAAAAAGGCAGGATAAACGTAAAGATTTTTAAACTTAACTTTCAACTCATCAAGCACCAATGAGTCTATTTTAAATTCATCCTGATACCATCAAAAGAATGTTTATTCAAGTAAATACTGCCCAACTTTTACACTCACTATGCCAAATGCAGAGATTATGTTCTTCATTCCATACTTTAAGAGTCCACGTAGAAGCTGTCCTTCCACGCACCTTTTTACAGGTAGTTTCTTGAGGGCTGCTGCTGGATCTTTAGTCTTTGCCCATTCTTCCCTGCATTTGACTAAGTATCCCTTTTCAGCTAGAACAAGGATGTAAAATAAAAACATTTTAACTATACACCAAAAAAAAATCCATCTCACCTTTTGTTAAAACAGTTGAAAAATTAAAGTTTCAGTCATGGTAATTACAGATTAACAGAATCACAGAACACTTGAGGGTGGAAGGCTTCACATGGAGCCTGAGTAAACACTGTAAGTATTCAGGTCCCTTTTTAGCCCCACTGCAAGAAACTGCACAGCAAGGAAAATGAGGCAGAAAGGGAGAGTCTGAAGATTGCTTCTCCACTGCTAAACTGGCTTAAGCTTTTCCTAAACATATGCTTATTGGAGAGGAGGCAGAAATACATGATGTATCATTTTTCAGTTCTCACCTCCTGGTCGTGGTTTTAATATCAAATCCATTACTTCATTCCAGTTGTTCTGCAGAATAGCTCTAGGATTCAAACAGGAAAGTGTATTAAGAACTGACTAAGAACTATTTTAAAGGGATTTAGCCAACTTATCAAAAAATATATATTAGTGTTTAGACTTATGCAATATTAAAAGTAGTGCTATTATGCAAGATAACTGCTGAAGCAAGTTCAGAAACAAGATCTTTCTTGAATCTAAATTTAAAACTGGTACAGGCAATATGTTAGAAAAGTGTTCCCAAAAATACATTAAGTTACATGGTGATAAGAGTAAAATTAAAAAAAAAAAGGGGGGGACGATGAAAGCAACACATACCTGCCAATTTGATAAGTAGGAACAGCTGTGGTTCCAAATCTTTGCATTCCATAGTAATTAATGAATCCAATTTCCCTGAGTGAATGCATTGCTTGCTCTATCTGCTCATCAGTACCTGTTATGTTTCTAGCATTGAAAAAAAAAAAAAAGTTATAGACAGATTAAGGGTTTATACTATTTTGAGATGTCCATTATATTAAAGCTCAACATCAATATTATATAGCATGCATTAAATCCAACAGTCTCCTGCCAACAGGACTTATTTTTTGTAACACAAGCTGCACTGATATCGCTTATCTATTTATAGGAAAAAAACTCTAACAGAACCATCTAAATACGTACTAACATACTACCTGAGAACAACAGTGAAATGGTTCCCTTGCAGTTCCCCCAATTTCAGTGGATGGTTCTTGTAACTGAAATTTCCTAATTTGAAGTTCATCAAACATTTATTCAAATGAGCAAGCCTTTGTGCAGTGATTCTAAAAAGAAACAGACAACAGTGACCAACCTGTGCTTAGAAAAGCAGATAAATACAGAAATGCTGCCATTACAAAATGAAAAACAGTGAGTCCAGTTTCCCCAATTTTCTACTGTTGCCTTTTCAAAATATTTAATGAAAGAGCTAAAGGAAGATAATACATAATTCTTAAGGGTACTCATACAAAAGAAAATGTATACTGTGACAGACTGCTGCAACACTGTCTTCTCAGACCTCTATTAAAACACGTACTCCAGAAAAAGTATATTGCAATACTGATGTATACTGTACCCCCACAAGGTGAACTCTGCATTATTTGAGTAACTACTTCATGAATACATACACCCAGTCAGCAAAGTCATGAATGCAGAGTTAAGTAAAATTAGCTACTGTGTATGCCTAGTGAGATGAAGGAACATGGAATCCAATGTGCCACTGATACCTGCCATTTTTGTTGCTAGTATTTTTGGAAGCATACCCTGTTCTTTGCATCAAGCTGCTCTTGGACATTTCTGCTAAATTTTCATCAGGATAGTGAAGTTTATGAACCAGCAGGCTGGCAACTGGCAATGTCCTCTCTCCTGTGCAGGAGAGTCAGGGGCTGTGGCACCATGAAACAGACACCACACAACACTTACAGCACTCTTGGACACAACACTGAGTGTGATAATGTTAAAAAGTAAATGGAACAGCACCAGAGATGGCTACACCACACAGCTGGTTAACTGTTACCACTTTGCAAAGCTGCCTTGCAGCGACATGAATCTGGGGCTTCTCACAATTCAAAAATCAGGATTTCCTTTTATATGTGCTAACACACACACAGAGAATATTGGGAGGAAATATAGAAACAATTCAGTAGTGGATGCCCTCCTTTTAAAAAGGATTTGATCAAATTTCTAGTTTTCAAGCTGTGAAATCCTCACTCAAGGAGTGTGGTTATCAAAAAGTTGTAAAAAGTAGTGCAGGTGGGATATTCCAGCCAGCTAAAATGATATTGCAATACACGACTGGGAGGCATCTGTCATTCTCAGTTATGGGTCTAACACTAACTTAAAGTGCCCAAAACTATATAATTATCTTAAAATATGACAAAGTAAATTTTATTTTCTCTTAGAAGGTGACTTAAGGGAGTAGGTTAAGGCAGGAAAAAACTCATCATCATTTTTTTGCCCCTTCTGGCTACTCACAGTGTATGAGCAAGGGCAGTGTTAGCCTTCTCTGGCACTGTTCACAGAGTACAGTGAGAATGAAAATAGGATTCTAGCTGTAGAAAGGGGGAAACAAAAGCCAGGAAGGAAGTGGGACATTATTTTCACCACGTCATTCTGTTTTTCTGCTGTTGCATGAGATCCAAGCAGCCTCAGAGCAGGCAGGCAATCTGTCCCACTGCCTCGGCCAAGCACACGTAACCAGCCCATGGCTCAGAGTGCCACTGACTGAAAATATCAGCAGTGACAAGAATACAAAAGGATTGTGGCATCTTCATTAACACCTGTCCTTCACAAGGTCAGGACCTGTACCTGCCATTTGTGTCACTGAGTCTTTGAGGTATTTAGTGATATATCCAAGCTACCACAGCAGAAGTGCAAATACTCCAGATTGTACTTTCACTCACCTGAGAACAGCAATCTCTTGAACTGTTATAGCCCTTTTATCTTTAGTTCCCATGTAGGAAAATATGTTTGGCTTCACTCTTAAAAGCAACAATAATAGATATTATGTATATTAAAATAGCAAGAGATCAAAGACAATTTTCAGCATAATTTCCTAGAATTATTAATCTTATAAATTAAAAATAGAAAAATATACCTACATTCCTCAGAACTGGGTTACAATTTGACATGTGTGACATTTTCTAATCTCACCCATGAGTACATAAAACACAAGGAAACTTGTGTTGTAATTATATGTAGACAATTCACTTTTAACACAACAGTGCTTACAAAACGTGAACTTTGAAGTACTTCTTTATATACATTAACTCAATAAAGAAATGAACAGCCACCACCAACTTCACTAAAAAAAAAGTCATATCCACTTCTTCCTTAAATTTCAAACATGTCTGAATACCATGCCTGCACATTATGAGAGAGTATGAGAAGATAATTTAAAATTTGATCCACTCCTCTCCCTGAGAGGAAAATTTCCTTTCCTTTTCACTTTGTACTTTACACCCTGTTTTAGGTGGAGTATTTCCAGTTATTCCAGTTAAGGGCTCCAGGGATAGCAGGATTGCCATTATATACAGTCTTCCACCTAACTACGCTCTTGCCATTCTTTTCTCAATACCAACACCAGTAGTTCATTGGTTAACGTCTAGATTACAATTTTTTTTTTGTTTTTTGGACAAGAAGGGCAAAGGAAAAAGTGGGAAGTTTCCCCATGAGCAGATCACTGAACTGACCCAATTTTAAAACTGCTCTTCCTCTGCAATTCACTGTGCTCATGTCACGCTTTGGCAAATCTTTTTGTTTCTGCACTTGATGGGGTGAAAGGAACTAAGCCTGTGTTGCCATGGAGAAATTAAATCATGGAACAACAGTTTATCAACTGTAACTGCTTAGGAACTGATCAGCATATTATCACAACAATATCTGACAGGTTCATAACATACTTGCATATATTCACACACTGGGGAAAAAATGGCTTTTAATTCATGTTACGTACATTGAGGCTTTCAGCTGCCAAGCCTTTCTCAGATCAGCCAATGGCAATTGTGGACTTTTTCCATTGAAGCAGTAGAGTAGTCTTTAAAATTTCTTAGGCTCATTTTGTTCCATTCTCACCTCCTCTCAAAACTTCGATATTTTAAATTTGATACTCTAAAGTAACTTTTCATTTTAAGCTGTCTACAAATTAGAGAATAGCAATCATTTGTGCTGCTCTTACACAATTATGAAGTATAACATTTACAGCAACAAGAAACATGGAGGGAGAGGGCTGCATGCCAGCCAGGATGGCAGAAACAACAGCCTTACCTTAAAAATTTGGATAGGACATTGATGGCATCCATAGTGTCCTTGTTCTCCTTGTACAGTACAAAATGGCAGTAGCTTCCCCTAGATTTCGGCCAAGAGTGCTTTCTTGGATCTTTAAAAGCAAAAAGGTTAAAGTGTCACTTTTTTAAAAAATTTAATATTTTTGCCATTGCAGCTACATTTATTTTAAATATGCAAGATTCAATTTCTGCTAATTTCCATCTGCTTTAAAAAAAATGAAAAGGAAAGATTTAATTACTGACAGCAAAAGCTGTAAAAAAGAATGAAAAGATCTCCCCTTCCACTGGACTGTAAACTTCTCTTTAATCAGTTCTGTCACCTAGAAAATCCTGAATGAAGCAGTGACAGTTCCTTTATCATTAAATTATCTGAAAATATAGCCTAGTCATTTAATTGCTGTATCACCTGAATTAATTTCTCAAATACATTATCATTATACTGACTTTCAGCAATAGAAGCTACACCACATTTCTTCTAGCTCCTTCTATAATTAATAGTTGAGAACCACTGGAGCCCTGTTTGTGGGAAGACTACCATTATTATTTATAGTACACACATATCCTTTATTTCTGTAGTATTTTTTCTGTGTGCCACGCAAAAGAATGAATCGTATAAACCCTAAGAAATCATGCTCAAAAAATTACTTTAAGATGGTTCTTTTTTAAAATCCAATGGGATCAAGAAATCTGGTATAAGAGACATGAACATACAATCCATGGCAGGTATGGTGCCATGCTTAGAGAAGGCCAGAGGTTGAAGTAACTTCAGATTCCATAGATTAACACCTGATTTACAATTCTGAGCTACTATTTGACATTTTCTGTAGAAGGAAGAAAACTGTTAATGATTTGTTAAGCTTTTTTTTTGCAAATAACAACCACCAGAGATAAAACTTTCAGTTTTCAATAATCCACTGTCAATGGCATTAATGGGAAGGGAGACTGATTCTATGGAGCTTTAGCAACCAACTGTGAGGTTCCTTCAATTCTGAGGTTTATCAATTCCTTGTTATTTAAGAACAAAACTAAGAATTTGTTTTGTTTTAAATAAGAAGTCCCTTATCTCTTGCTAGCCACTAAGCAGACATTCCTGGCTTTGTAAAAAAAAAAGGCCTAAGCATCTTTCATAACAGGAAAAGCTAACTAAAAAAGCCAGCCTTATTTCAATATATGAACACCAATGCAGGAAGGAAGTTCTTGGAAAATACTGCTCTTTTTTTTACCCTGGTTTTACAAAGTCCAGATATCCCACACAGATAGTAAGTGTGTTTAATTCTTCCTTGTTCTTGAGAAGCTGCCATTGATGCACACACTTCTGCAAAGGCAATTTTGGATGCTACAGTATAAAAAACTATGTACAGGTTTTAGTCACCTAGAATTATTGCATCACTTGCCTTGCACCATCAGTTTCTAAGCACAGTCCCCCTCCCACAGAGTTTCATTGGGCCTGAACTGGAGACCTCATGCTCCTGCTGGTCTCTCCTCTGAGAGAGACCCCCAGTACTCAAACTCAGTCAATGAAACACTGCATTTTGCTGGAAGAGCAAGGTTCTCCAATAATATCTCAGCAATTAGAAGAGAAGAGAGTAAGACAGAGCTCAATTCACAAAGGAGAACCCTCTCCAGCTGGAACCATTCTTTATATTTAACTAATACATCTTGCACATGGTCAGGAAGTGAGCCCTGATGTGATCTACACTAAAAGGATTCTCTAGGTACTATACAGACCAATGGGGCTCCTCATGCTTTGGGCATCACAGCCAGGACCCCATCCAAAGGAGGCTGCAGCCACAGTCCTGATACTCAACCATTCCTCACCCAATACTGCAAAGCATTCAACTGGTAGATGGAGCAGTGGGACAATCTGGAGTCCTTATTGCAGTGTTTCAGAGTCATGCTACATTTTTGACAATAACACTGTATTTCCAAGCCTTTTGTTGAAACTTGAGGCTTGGAAGGTCATTTTTAATAGAAGGGTGTGTGATAAATGCTTTTAAAGTTATATAAAGACAGATAGTAGTGTCTGCAATACAGGCTGAAGGGCAAAGGCTTGGCTAACTGAAATCCATGGAAAATTTACTGTAATTGTCAACATGCACTGAAAAAATTGATAATTCATATCACTTATTACTAGCAGACTTTCTCTGCACCAAATGAATATTGCCTGTAATGCACTACAAAAAAAGAGGTAGAATAAGCCTAATTCTTGGCTGTTTCAGGGCATTTTAAGTAATATATATATATATGTAGGAATTTTAAAGAAATTATTACAAGTTTGGCCAGTCCTGCTGCTATTTAGGAGGTCATAATGGTTGGCATTTCATTTTTGTTAGTATGAAATGTCAACGTCTCTTACCTGTCGCAGTTCTGACCTCTGTCCCAATGCAGAGCATAAAGAGTACAAAAGAGTAGCATTTAATTTTTGGACTGTCAAAGGGTGTTTTGAGGTGAACATGCAGGTTTATGGTTATGGGATTGTTTATGCTTCAGGGAGCATCCAACAGCTAGGTGGTGGATGACAGCAATTTAGACAATTATGGAATGGAATCGTGCAGAGGCAAACAGTGAACATATGGAAAGCTTCAACTGGAGATGCAACAAACTTAATTTGTGGACAATGATGAAACAACAGTTTACTGACAATTTAGTAAAATAGTATTTTAACTATTTGGAGGATAAACTGACTATAGCAACATAGCAGCTTCTGATTTTAAATTTAAAGAAGCATGTTTGGTAATGTTTTATGTTATCAACAAAGTAATCAAGTATCTCAGCTAATAATCCAATATTCTACACTTCTGAAATGTTTCTTGCCTGGGGAGCCCATTCATGACTACAACATGTTTGTGGCTATATAAACAAGAAAGATATATATAATCCTGACTAAAAAGCACTTCAAGCTAACATCCATAAGCATTTGCACACACTCACAGAAACTGACATCTCCACAAACAAATGCACAGGTGCCTGCAGCATCACAGCTGGGGAATCCAAGTTTAAATAGATGATGCTTCTCTGCATCACAAGATGGTGCTCCACATAACGATTTAATCCTAGAGACACACCACTAAATTCTTTTCAGCATATTTCAAATACTTAAATTCTTTTATCTATTATCCCTTAAATCAGCTTAACAACATCCACTTGACTGTAACAGTGGTTAAGGAATAGAAGCAGCAGAAGGAAAAGATGGAGGAAAAACCATTACAAACCAACAGAACAAAACTGGCTGAGGAGAATTCTGTGCTGGTAAATATACATAGTCCATGCATAAAGCATGCAAACATACACATTTTCTAAACATGACTAAATAAGATACATAAACACATTTTAATTCAACCAATAAAAATACAACATCCCCATATTTGTTTATAACAAGCCTTAAACAAACAACTACATTAAAGGGCAAATTACTTTATTTCCCATTTTAAATGATTCTATTTCTTTATCGTTCCTCCATCTCCTTTGTCTTTAAAATTAAAGGGTTAGGTTTACACACCATCATTTGTAGTAGGTTGAAATGACAGAGGAATACAGACAATTTAAACCAAACCTTATCTTTAGTTAAATGTGCACCATTCTGCAGGTAGATAATCCTCTAAACTTACAGTAGCAACAAATTTTTAGTAACATTAAAGGATGTAAAACATGCTAATTTATTCCTAGTATCCAAAACAGTATTTTGCTAGATTAAAGTGGATAATATTTCATTTTGAAAATCCTTCATGACTTTGACTATTTCAAAAGATTAACTGTGATCTATAATGAATAAAGATCATTTTCTGCAAATATAATTAGCCTTGGAAGCAGAAGTAATGATCATGGTGAACTATGTTTATATGAAACTATAACTCTGAGAAAACAAAAGATCCTTGTCTCTAATCAAGTCATTGAGAATTTTGTCATCAATATTCAAGAGAATCAAGATCACACCATCTATCAATCTAATGTACATTTTCCAACGACAACCTCCTACATCCACATGCACACTTACACACACAATTAAGATTGTCAAAGTTAAATTCAAAAAATACTGAAAATAAAGCCTCTGTTTTGCCTATTCCCACTGAAAAAGAAGAAAATGTTCTCTCTTCTAATATGGTTGTACTGGATTAATTATTTGGAAAGAAAAACAAGTAGAAATTTAAATTTACACCATTTCTTGTGGTCCTAATCACTTCAGATGCACAGCATCAGCTGAAATGAGGAAAAAATGAAGCAAGACTACATTAGGAAGCACACTCACTTGAAGTACTTACTAACAATTCTTACTTTGGGGATAATTTTAGCATTTACTTTACCCATCTGCTGTGATACTGAAACTCACTTGCCAATGCTTTTTTCCCAGCAGCATGATAAGCAATAATGTATTTCTTTCCATCTCTATCTTCTGTTTTAGTCTCCAGTCCTGGAAACAAGGACTTCACAGCCTGATGGATGATGGTTCTTTTTTCTTTGGTGTCTTCAACTACCTGTGTTAATACACATACATGCAGAAACCAAATAAATTAATACAAAAGTGGAGGGTGCCTTAAAGGAAAAAAAATTAGCTAGATAAGATTATTTACTGTGTGCTTATTTGAAACTACCAGGTATAATCCTACTCATCTCCATGTCCCAAATTTAGCTCAATAGTTATTCTTTCAATATGTGGAATAGTTGAATGTTTAAAAATATTGATGTTTTAATGTCATTTTCTTATCTTTCTTGTTACAGAAGAGCATATTTATCTTCTTTGCTATTAAATCACTAAACACTGACCTTGAAAGCAGTGTTCCATCAGGATAAATGTTTTATGCAAACCTCCTTTTCTTTAAAACAATACTAAACAGGAAACCAAAATACTGCAAGGTAAGTTTAACACCACAGGAATTACAACCTATATTTAAGTTCCTGCGTACAGTCTCACCAAAATCAAAGTAACAACTCACACATGCATGAATTCGAGTACATCTGGAAGAGTTTAGAGAATTAAGCCCTAAACTGGACACAGTTTGGTGTTATCTATCACATCACAGTCAAATTGCTCTTATACCTTACACACATTAGAAAGCGTGTACCATCTACAGCCTCCCTCCCTCCCTCAGCCTCTCTCTGCCCCCATCCCAAACTTCCTATAATTTCATAATTTTACCTCTATGGCAACACTAGTTTCCTTATTCTTAAAAAGCTGGAGCTCCTCTAAACGCTGCTTGTCTTCATCTGACAAAACTGTAAATGTTTCTTCTGATGGGTCCTAATACATATTTGGGGAGAAAAAAAAACAAACAACCAATAACCCTCATGGAGTAACTTCAGTCTTTCAATGTTTTTGCTTAAAGAGCATTAAGAAGCATAGCCATTACTAAATAATTTACCTCATCATCCACTGGAACAGAAAAGTCATCTAAATGGCTCACACGTCCATCTTTGCCTATTTCATGGACAACAAAGTCTGAGTATCTGATAGAAAGAAACATGCATTACATTTGTAATAAAAATCCCACATCACATAAAGTCCTTTCCTAAAAAACTGTTAGCAGAATTCACTGAAGAACTCTGAATTCGTGTAAATCAATTCATGTAAAACAAACTTAACAACCATGAGAAAGCTGTACCTATTCCCACCCCCCAGAAGGATACCACAGGAACACACAGGCAAATGCAGCAGACTCCTTTGCAGATCACCAAATTCTGCTGTAGTTACTCTTGAGTCATTCTCTCACTAGTTTGAAGAGATCAGTAATGCTTATCCTCAATCCCAGTCATTACTGGCAATTAAGACTCTACTGCCTTGCCACAACGTGCAATGCATTAACTACTGCATTATCTCTGTCACTTCAAATAACCTGCAAAATAAAGTGCATTTTAGCCACTCTACAGAAGGCTGGACAAATTCAGCCTTGTTCATATATTCAGTTGGACAGAACATCATTCAAATAAAGTTACTCTACATACTCTATGACAGTAAAAAAGAATTTTACTCTGACATTTTCAATCTAGTCACTCATGTCTAATAATAAAAGCAGCCCAACTATAACAGAGCACAGTCGGTTTGTGTTGCAACAGTGAAATGATTTTTAAGCAGCATTTGCTAGCAAACTGAAAAAAAAAAAATTCTTATTGTATAAATGTTGAAAGATTAATAAAACTCCACCAGGGGAAGCTTTCTACTGTACCTCACCCAAGTCCCCCTTTTGCCATCCCTCTGTGCAGATATACACCATATTGGTGGAATTCCTTCCTGAGGAGTGTTCTGTGTCCTCTCCTCTATTATCTGTAGCTGTCTAGACATGCTAGTGATGGTACCATAAAAATGTCAAGAATGAATTAATAATAGATGTTAAAAACTAGAGTCAAAAAAAAAACCCACAAACCCATGAATTTTCTACCACATGGCTACCTTTGGCCAACCGAAATTGGCAGATTTCCCAGAAGAAGGTTCAGCACAGACTACGTTTCCCAGAAAAGGATTACACTAGCTGCTTAATGCTGCACATAAAGACTAAATACATATGTAATATGTATATATCATTTTATGTAAAATTATCTATGTATGAAGCCAGTATTTAAACACAGGGACATTTCAGTGTGTAAACAAAGCAACCTGAACTGCTTTGTTAAAATCAAAGAAACAGTGATTCTAACTTCAGTGAGCTTTTGTATTTGCATTCTATTTTATTCAAAGCTATTATTTAATTTTAAAAACCTAGAAGTTTCATTCTAAAAAGCTATTAAACACCAAATATCTTATTAAATATATAATGTGTATGTATAATTCCACATCCTGAATTTTGAAACTCCCTTCTATGTAAATGACATTACTGAGCAGATGATAATTTAAAGCCTAACTGAGCAGACAATAATATAAAGCCTAACCATCCTTACTTACAGACATTAGGACAAAAAAGTCAGAGAACAGCAAAGAACCAAAGAAGGATGGTTTTGATGCCACTTTTCAGTGCATCTCTCATCAGCACTAAGGAGAGGTACAAAAGGTGGGTGTACTGCGTAAGGTTTTATGTCTCTGCTGCTGCCAGAGAGCAACAGAAACAGCAAAGGTCAGAGTAATCATGTATCTCTACTCCTACACAGCTTCCTTCTTCAGAGCTCCATCTGACAGTAAAATAAATTTAAAAAAAAGGAAAAAAAAAAACAAACTCAAAAAACCACACACCAAAAAAATAAAAAACAAAAAAACAACAAACCAAAAAACCCTAAACAAACAAAAAAAACCCAACCCACAATTTAGAAAAGTCCTAAATTAAACCTTTCTTTAGCAGTAAAAAAAGTAATGAACCTCACTTAATCCAGCTGCAATTTGTGACTCCAAAAAAGAAAATGGAGAACTACAGCTGTGTTACACAAGGAATCAACATATGAAACAAGACAATGAGTTACCTCTCTTTTAAGATTCCAGAAAACCCTTTGTGAGAGCTAACAAATTTAGTTATGCCAACATCGCTTTCTGTCAGTCCATGCTTCATCATGTCTGCAAAGCTCTCTGGATCTCCATCTTCATCACTATCCTCTAGTTCCTCTTCTTCCTGCTCCTCACTTTCCTCATTGGGACTTTTCATGTCCTCGGGTTGTTCTGTTACAGTCTCAATACTCTGCCCAGAGTCGTTCTCTGCCTTAGAGTTCTCCAAGATCTTCTGCCTTTTAATTTCATCTGCATTGGCCACATCATCCTCAGAGCGAGGACGTTTCAAGGATACACTATTCATTTCTACAGTTTCCATGTTTAAGGCACAGGGTAGGATAGGAAGCCCTGAGAAAGAAGAAGAAAGGCTTATTTTCTGTCTGCTAAGAGCAATATCAGTACATAGGCACTTCAAGGACTCTGCCCCCTGCAATGTTTCAGGAAAACCATACATTTTCTGCATTTAAATTAAGCATCAAGTAAACATTTTGAACACCTAGAAACAATATGTACTTGGGGAGAAAGAAGGAAGACATTATGAGGGCAGCATGGGTGCTGGACTACAGCAGAGCAGGACTGAGTACTACACTGACCATTTACCACCATCACCACTCTTGCCCACCCTTATCATGGCTGCCTGCAGGCCTGTGCACACACAGGTTCTGCTGCCAGCAGCATTTTAGTGCCTAAGAAACTGTTTGTTTCCAAGCCTTCTCTTAAACCTGACTACTCTCAATTATTCCCTTTTCTATCAAGATTCCCTCTTGCAAAGACTGAGAGAGAGCGGCTGAGTTCCCGCAAACCTGAATTCTCATGTCTTTGTTTTCTATGTACTTCCAACACACAAAATGCTACACAGAATTCAAGGTGGCATCAATTCAGTCCAAAAGATAAGAGGGATGAGACACCAAAACCACTGAATCAGTGAGACAAGCAAAACATGGAAATTAAACGATCTTTGAGAAGAACATGACTACTCACGCTGGTGGAATAGGGCTCAGGGCTGCCACCTTTGTGTCAGCAGAACCACTGCCTTCAGATCTGAAAAAAAGAGGAAAATAACTCTTTGAGGAAGTTTTATAAAAAAAAATACTATGAAAACATATATGAACGCAATCACATATGGGCTCAGATAGACATGTTAATAAATACAACTGCTGAAGTATTACCATTCTAGTGACACAACACATTATTGCTATTTAGCAAGCTACAGGAGAGAACTCTGGTTTTATTTCTAAGTGTATAAGTGTTTTTATTTTCTAAGTGTATAAAAGGAAACTGGAGTTCCTATAATTAGGCATGGACAGGACCTTTCTTCCAGCATCCCCCATTGGCACAGGAGTGTAGGGGGATAAAGTGCAGGTTTTGGTAGCAGGGGCTGCACGGGAGGAGGTCATAAACTGCCCTGTGTGGGCCATGGCCAGTTCAGCTGGCTCCATAAACCCACTGCCTGCCATCCTCCAACTCATCAGATGAGCACATGGTGCCCTTGCTCCAGTTTATCTGAGAAACACAAAGGAAAGCACAGGAGGAGACACTGACAGAGTGCTCAAAAAGGCACAGGGAAGCATGGAGAAGGGGACAACTGCTATGGGCACAGCTGGAGATGCACTCTTGGAAGGAAACTCCACACTCCTTTCTTGGAGGAAACTCTCCATGAGACTATGGCCTGTGGAGGTGCCCATGATGGGACAGGGACACCCTTGAGGGGCCCATGGAGAGGACCCATATGGGAGCAGAAGAAACAAGCAGGAGAAGGAAATCTCCATGTACCAACCCCAACCTCCTGCACTACCACTGCCTTGCCTAAGGGCCAGAACATAACCTGAGGGCCAAGGAGGAAAGGGGAAGAAAGGAGTTTTCCCCAAGTCTGTGTTTAAGTAGTGGTCTTCTTTGTAAATCACCAGCCAACTGGTAATAAATTAAATTACCCATGTCAAGTCAATTTTGTCCAAGTTTCTAAATTAATATGACTTAGCTATTACTGAGAAATTAATCTAGGCAGTATTTTAGAGCCACATACAACACCCTGTATTATCTCTCCAGCCACTAAATAGCATAATCTACCCAATTTTAAAGGGCATGTTTTTAAAGGAAGTCCCACTACTAACTTGATAATCAGCATTTGCTGGGTTGGTAAGTAATCGTTACCAGTTATCAGTTAGCCAGGGCTGACTTCATGGCCTGGACACCCCAGTGAAGAGATCACCAGATTAGGCTAAAGAGGCAGGAACAACTGTTTTAGAAACGCCTGAAATGTTTTGCTCAAGTGAAGAACTGAAAATGAATGTGACAAAAATAAATGAACAATGGGGAAATAAGGAGAGACTGATAAAATTGTATGTATGGCGTGAAGAGCGATACAAGCAAGAAAGCAGAACAATTATAAAAACAATGTACCTTCAAGCTGAAAGGACCAATTTTATTCTGTCTTCAAATAAAAGTTCATAAAATCCTTCTTTCAAGAGGAACAATAAATAAAAGTCATAGCCAAGTGAAGCAATTCACCACTGTTTCCAGATTCTCTTTCCATGTACCAAAATTTATAGAGGCTGGGTTATAAAGCACTGAAGTGGAAAAGGCTTTTAGATGCCTTGTGAGATTGTGAGTATCTTCACATAGCGAACAAAATAGCATTCAGCACAATGAAATCCTCTGAGACACCTGCCAAAGGTAGCAAAAAGAGAAATCTAGTGCTTCTTAACTAAAACTGTAATATCTAGTTATTGAATTATAGACTGTTAGAAGAATTCGATGTTGGGCACAAACACTCCAAAGTTGTCAGACACAGACTATTCTCACAGCAGAAGTGTGACTCACATACTACAGAGTACTATCCTGTGCCCAAGGCAGCCATCAGCGGGGACAAACTCTGCAGGATAATTGCCTGAAGGAGCGCGCTGAAGCGAGCGGGGCACACTCTGCCTCACTTGTGCAGACTGCTAGGGAGAGGCTCCTATTATTTTCTGACAGCTGCTCAATTGTCTCGGCCCTTTTCCTAACAGGTGTTTTCATAAAAGCCAGAATCTGCATAAACATCAACTCCGCAGCAATGTTCTAACCGAGACCGAGTTTACTACTACAAATAAAACACTTGACTCTTCGCAACAAGAAACGCCGAGCGATTACTCCAGGCGCGGCACCCGTCAAGCAGGCACTGAGGCACAGAGCCGGCGCCCGGCAGCGCTGGGTGCGAAGCCGCTTTCTCATGAGACGAGGCACGTGGGATTAAAAGGCGACCGAGGAGAGGGCGACGGTGCAGCAGCAGCGCCCCAAGGCCAAGCCTTGCGGCGAGGGCAGCGCGGAGGGTGCAGGCGGGGAGGGCAGCGGCGCTCGGAGCCCGCGGGCCGGGCCGGGCCGCCGCCACAGCGCTCCGGGCGCCGGGCCGGGCCGGGCCGGAAGAGCCGCTGCCAGCGCCGAGGCTGCCGGGGCAGGGCGGGAGGACGCACTGGGGCCGGGTCAGGCGGGACACGGGGACGAGGCAGGAGGAAGGGCTCTGCCGCGGGGGTCCCGGCAACACGCGGCGCAACGCGGGAACGGCAGGGGAAAGCCCGGCACCAGCGGGGGCAAAGCTGCCCCGAGGCGGAGCCCCCCCGGCCCCGCGCCCGGGCGGGGAGCGGAGAGCCGGCCCCGCCGCGGAGCTCTTGCGCGGCTGCCGGGGGAGGGTGCGGCTCCGCCCGCCGCTAGGCAGGAGCCGCCGAGGGGGAGCCACTTACCCGCACGCCGGCACGGGAGGACGGCCCGGGCGTCAGCGCGGCGGGGCGGGAGGCGGAGGCGGCGCGGGAGGCGGAGGCGGCGCGGAAGGAGCCCGGCCCAGCCCCGCTTGGGCGGAGGCGGCCCCAGGCTGCGCCCGCCCCCGGCCGGCCCGCCGCGCTGACGCCGCGCGGGGAGCGCAGCCGGGCGGGGGGTGGTGCCGGTGGAGGGGCTGCTCCTGCCCGCGCTTCCGTCACCGCTGGCCTGGCCGGGCTGCCTGTGGGGAGATGAGGGTAGGCAGGCGGTGGTTTACAGAGGAGCTGCAACTGTGCAGAACGAAAGTTTAATTTCCAACAGGCGGCTGTAGCCAAAGCAGGGAATCGTGTACACGAGATGGTGGATTCCTGAGCCTCCCCGGCATCTGAAACGCGTGGTGCTAATTGAACATTAGTCCCAGGACAAGGGAATGTTCGAGTACCATTCAAAACCTACACTGTACCTATGCAAATCACTTTAAAAACCAGGCCAGATCTGTGCTATGAGTCCTTTCTGACATAGTCAGAATGTCATCTTCTACCCTCTTTTCTATTTTAAGCACTGGTGCAAGGAAGGTATTTTCATTAACTTCACGTAGATTTGTCCTTATTTTTAAGACCCTGTGTGTCGTGTCCCAATCCCAGCCTGTCTCAGGCTTCCTCTGAGCCAGGCTATTAATAATTTAGTGTCTCATACTTCTTATTATCTAGTTGTATTGTATTCACAGTCTCCTTATGTGATGAGACTTATGCCTGGTATGTGTATGTGGGTAACTTACTTTCTTATCTCTTGTACTTACCTCCTCCCTTGGAATAGGATAAGAAAGTAACACAATGCAGTACTGCAGCTCGGAATGTAAAAAAAATCCCAGGTATGCATGAATTTCTGAATGACTAGCTTATGAAAGACCTCATCTAGGAAAAAAGGAAGGAGCAAAGATGCAGCTCTCCTTAGGTCTAAGCAGAGATGGATCCATAGAGATTTATTCTAGAAAGCCCTAGGGGATCAAATCTTTGTGTTTTCTACAGAGCTTTAGTTTACCCCCTGTCCAGCCTTCACACTTGTAACTTAATGAACCTAGCAGATACCGGTAGGGATATCAGGAATGGGTTCAGTGCACTTCTGAGGAGAGGTGAACAGCGGACTGGAGACAGCAATGGAGGTTTAGATTGACAAGGCAGATCATGGCACTTGTGACAGCTGTAGTGCCACGGAGGAAGCCAGTGCTAGGACATCACTGACTCCAGGCTGCCTGAGTGGTAGGGGCAATGCAGGGAGAGCTATGTGTCATTTGAACATTGCTGTCATTTGGCCATTGACTGTGGCTGTGGTATGTTGAAAAGTTGTTTATTCACCTCTCCCAGGCAAAAACATCTTCCTGAAAATATCTGGCTGGGGGAAACCTCCAGCAAGACTTCTACCATGCATTGATCCAAGTTTTTCTGTCATGTAACTTCTTGCTTCTTCTATCTTGTGCAGGAGAGCTTCCCTAAAATACTTATTTTTCCTCCTCCAAATTCCTACATTAAGTACCTCATTTTCTTCAAAATCCTTGTCAGTAATTAAGTAGGTTGTATCTTACAACTGTGCTTGGTATGATAATTACCCTTCTCTTAGTTTTCCCTGTTGACTATGTGTTCATCTATCATCTACTACCATCAACTCAGATAGAATTTGGAGTGGTATGAAGTACCTCATACACTGAAGAACCAGCATTTTGAAGGACCTGCAGGTGCTACCACAAGGTAAATAGCTTAATAAGATCATTCCTATGTGTTTCCCAAGTCTTCTAATATATTCAGAAAAGTTTATTACTCCTTTCTCAACACCAACAAGCATCCTCTGACATATTAAAGAATTGTCTGCCTGTGTCTGAGAACCTACAGACAAAATGCACGAGATTACTTTTCCTATGATTCAGGGGCTGGAAAGAGGGAAATGCCAGTTCTGCTTCAGAGATAAAACTGATCCACCCTGGCAAGAGATCATCAGTAGAGATCACTGAAAATGTCCTGCTCAGTCACCTTCAGTTATGATCTACCCTTAACATGGTTTCCAAGTGTAAGCTGGCAAAGGGGTTGCAGTCTTGACTCTTTTCTCTATCCATTAGTCAAGTGCTCCTTTTACATACAGAGTTATAGTGTAAAATATAAAAAGAAAATAATAATATGGCTTGAGCTTAATTTTTTTTCCTTGGTTGGTTTAACAATTAAACCCCTTTCTATTATAAATTATCTAATGTATCTATTGGGTGGTATCATTAAAATATGATCTTAATCTCTATTACAATGTATCACTACATTCCCATAGAAATTTTGTTTAATGTAACCTAAAGGAGGTTTGTTTTGTGGAAAAAAAATATGACCAAAGTCTAATAAGTTTGTAATGTCTTCCTAATCTCAGGCTCCCCAGGAGGGGAAATCAGGATAGCACATCTCGGCAGATGGGAGCATAAATCTGGCTAGGAAGAGAACGCAAGTGAGAAGCATCTTGAGTCAATCTCCTCCAAAGATGCTCATTGAAAATCTTAAGGTACAAAGTTGAGATGTTCCCAGTCTATAGAAAAAGCTAATAAAATAGAGAAGCAATAACTGCTCTCACTCTTCTTCAGTTTTATGCCTCCCAGGGGCACAGACAATCAGACAGATAAGTTGTAATTTTACACCCCTTTGCACCAGCTGCACTTAACTAGCCTGATTTTTACCTGCCAGTAATAGCACCACAGAGAACTAAAACCAAAGAACTATTAAAAGCATAATGTATTTTTCATATGTAGGTTGTTTGCATTTTTCATGCTTATTTTGAGGCCTTGCATGAAGCAAAAAGTGGGGGTGATAACTCATTACCATGCAACATTTAAAAATATAAAAGTATGAAAAAGGGATTTTTTTGTGAAAATACAGAATTCTATTCACAATGCAATTTCAGCGAGAAGGTTCTTTGAGGAATTTTGAAAACAGTCCAAAATGAATCATACAGATTTCCAAAACAATGACAAAAAAGGGTTGTATGAGAAAACAAATTATCAAAGTTTATATCACTTTAATAGGCCATCACCTTTAAGTTGATGCTTCCCCTTTTCCCTTCACCCATTTTTTTTTTTTTCAATAAAAAACTGCTTAGTTTTGAAATTAATCTCTAAATCCATTTGTCAGTTAGTTGGCAATAGAGGAAAGGTGGAGAAGCATCTTGTCTAGGCAGATGAGAATTTTAGGCAGAGAAGGGTTTTTTTGACCAAGTCTGTTCGTATCTAAAAAAAAATTAATGTGCTCTACAGGCTGATTTTAAAATAAGAATGCATATGACTATAGAAAATCAACCTCAAGCTTAGGATTGGGAGGTAACTGTGAAATACGTTTTCTCTTTTTACCTTAATTTCACCATGAGACAATTGAGTCAGGGGTGCTGTGAAGCTTTGCAGCAGTGTAGACAAAACAGGATGCCATCACCCACAGATCAACTGTCTGAGTGGCAGCGTTCAGCTTTTGCAAAGATGGTAAAGAGCAAATAGAATACGCAATAGGGATCTGCGCTGGAGGAATAATTATGTATTTCTGCCCCGTTCACAATTATCTCAGAAGGCCTTTAAGGGGTGAAAGACCTTCCTGTGTATTTGTGCAGAGGAGGAGGGAACAGCTGGGGCAGGACAGAGGCTGAAGTGTGAGCTGCCCACGGGCTGATGAGGGCTGCAGGAGAGCGAGGGTGGGGAGTGATGCTGGGTGGGACCTCTCTTGCAGCAAAGCTGCTGCCTCACACACAGCAGGAAAAGCCAAGGCTGCAAAGGTGGAGAGAGAAAATGAACTCTTCTGTCAGCTCATGCTGCTTGAATGCTGGCCTGTGGGGTAGCAGAGTGTACTCTTTACATGCCTTGCCTGTGCCTGCTGTCACAGTGGGTTTTCCATGAATTATTTTAGCTGCATTTGATCACTGTTATTGCTGTGAAATTTTGTACCCTATTAAGCTCCTGTAAAATGCCTGTTTTCCTCAGTGCAACTGGATCTGGCCACTAAAAACTGTTTAGAAGTCACAGCATTCATATCAAAGATTCACAGATGTGAAACTGAAATGGATTATGGGAATACTTGGGGTATTTTTTACTCAGAATTATGAAGGACTTTAAATCTCATTTCTCATCATCCATACAGAAAATCCTGGTACCTGAGTTTGGTTAACTTCCAGATATAGCCACAATGTAGTTAGTACTCCTTCTTTATGTGCCTAATTCTGCATGTAGACAATAAAAT